TATAATTAAGAGATAATTTAAATAGACATTTCTCCACTTGACACCAGAATGGTGTTCTAAGAAGACTGGAGTACTTGCTACCAGAACTTTGTGGTTTTGGTCCAGTGTGTAACTTTTCCACTCTGATTTTATTAAGTAATATTTTAAAAAGAAGTCAATATAGTACTGTAAAACTGAGGACAATATAAAATGAAGAATTAAAGAGTATATAAAGTCTTCAAATTTATCTTTGTTTTCTATTTCTTGAATTCATTCCCTAATAATAAATTCTTCTGGAGCAAAATGTATTTTCCCATCCTGTGCAATGAGATATCACAAATTATTTTATTCAAACAGTGCTACATTTCAATAATATGCTTCTTGGAAAACTGCCAAAGAGAAACAAGTTTTGTTTTTTAAGTGCTCTAGACAGCTTATTATAGCCTATGCTGAACTACAAAACTAAGGCAGGCAGGTCAAGCACACCTGAATTCCAACACATGCTTTGATATGTTCTTTCTTAATTCCAAGAGGTGTATTTGATTAAACATATAAGCAGAAATAGTACTCCTGTTAGTAACTTGCTATTTGGATAAATCTGTTTTTTAAATACGATAGAAGTGCTCACTAAATTCAATTTGCTATTGGATTTTACTATGTATCTACTAGATACCATGTAGCTATTTGAACAAGTTCTTCCTGCTTTGCCATGAGAATATTTACCCACTGAATGCCATGAACCTATAAGGATGAGTAAGTCTAATGGAGACACAGGGTCATATTAAAATGATGTATGAGATTTTTTTGCTACTATTTCTTCATTCTCACAGGACCATGTTTATTAAGTCTTCTGTTTACACATGCACATAAATTCAAATATGCAAAATTGTATAAGACAGGTCATACTATTGAGAGTTCGCTTACACGTTTTGGCTTGAAGAATGCAGCAGAATACTACACACGAGAAACAAATAGGTTTCTAACACAGCAGAAAATTACAAGTTTTATCAAGAGACCTAGGTTTTCCAACCATTTTTTTCCCATTATTTAAAAACAACAATTTGAACAGTTTTATACCTGATTTTCAGATTCGATTATCTACGATGTCAAAATGCCTCAAAGGATCACAGATTTTTCATTTCAAATAGTTATGTTAAAATAAGTATCATTAAATATTTTATAAAATACATTATAGGTTCCTACATGTGTTACATTTAATTTATTATTTCACCATGAGGAATAATGCGTATTAGTATCTGTTTGTTGCCTCAAAAAAGAGTTGGTTAAGTTTTACTATATACACTTCAAACACAAAATGCCCACCACAGATTAAAACTTGGTTCTGTGTATAAGAAAATTTCCTGTTTGAAATTGTAGTAAGACACAACATATGGAAAAATAGAGCACTTGAAATAACTTGTCAAAATAATTTAGAAAATTAGATGATTTTAAAATTCTATAACCATAATGTATAAGTAATGTTTCCCTAAAGATGATGTAAAGATGCAGTTATAACCAGATATTCTTTCACCCTTTTCTTTTTATTCTTTTATAGCTTTACAGAAATGACTTTCTACACCAAAGCTAACAATATTTACTTAGGCTTTCCCCCCTTGTTTTGAAAAAGTCCAAGGAAAACATACACATGTTAACGTATTTGAAGTCAAAAGACACATGCTTATTCTATTTTAAGAGAAGCCTAATAATTGAAGCATTTCATTTCTTAGAAACTTAGTGTAAATATTTTCTGAGTGAGCAATGAAGCCAGTAGTAAAATATTAGTAAATGGAAAAATTATACTTGTTCAAAATCCATTAACAATTTTATAGCTCTATAGAATCATATAAACATTTAAGACATGCTCTAACAAGCAAATAGTCAAATAAAATATATTTTCATGCCCAAAAAATTCCATTAACTTTTATTACTCTTCCCCCCTTTTAAATATAGCAGGCATAAAATGAAGAAAGAAATTTGGGGGCAGAAATTATGGTCCCACAATTTTATATAGGAAATTTATTTTTAAAAGGTATCCACATGAGTGACCCAGAATTTAAGTTGTTATCCTTACTCTAGGAAGGAGAAAGGCAAACTCAGAGAACTATACTTTTTTATTCTCTATTGTCAACTAACCTATGCACTTCAGTGGGAAAATGTTTACACGCTTCTTCCTTTCTTCCAGTGAGTTATCTGAATGCCAGATTCCTGGAAGTGTTGACTATTGATAAAATATGTTAACTTAAAGTCAGACAGATAAGAGTTCAGCAACAGGCTCTTGAATCCTTATTGTATCTTCTTATTAACTCCCAGTTTCCTCATCCATAGGATGGAAATCAGAATAATGCCTGCCTTATAAGCTGATGTGATGCATCCCTGTAAAAATATAGTGTAAGATCTGGCACATAGCAAATGCTTAATCGGTTTTATTATTTTCTTACATGAGAAATAACTTTAAAATATGATGACAAAATCTCCCTTCACCGAACACTTACTATTATGTCAAGCGCTGTGTGAGTACTTTACATGCATTACATAATTTAATCCTTATAGTGTTGTTAACTCATTTTACAAAGGAGGCAATTGATGGGAAGCAGTCCCTGGTCCAAAGTATTCCAAGGAGCCTATCTTTTTTTTTTTTTTTTTTTTTTTAACAACTCCTGGTTTAAAAAGGAGATTCACATAAAAGGACATATCTTATAGCTACATTTAAAATACCATTTTGGTGAAATTTCCATTAGGGCAGATAGTGCTACATTAGACATAGGTTTTTTTCCTGAAATATTTTCTTGAATTAAGATATGACTAGATGGAATTACATAAATTAATTACCTTATTAATGTTCTATTTCTATCTATGTATGTTCAACAGATATGGGGTGTGGCATTTTTGCTCTACTTCTGACTGATATGCATCATTTGTTTGGCTTGCTTCTGTAGTGTAATTTCACAAACAAATTTGGGATTTATTTATTTTAATAAATTATCTAGTAATAAGAACAATGAAGTCTTCAAATGCCCAGAAAAAATATAAATAATTTCTAAAAATAAAAATATAAAATAGGTGTATTAAAATTCATATATATGAAATCCAACACAGGCCAAAGTTTGAACTCTAATTCTAATGTGAACCCAATACAATATGTGTATGAGTGTGGCTATGTATATATAAAGCATGAATTTTTGTTTGACTTTGACAGTGCAAATATTAAATACTTGCATTTATATTACTACATAGAGTAAAATCATACATTATAGAATATACGCTAATGTAGTAGATCTCAGTAATCTATTCCAAAAAAGAAAATATTCGAGAAAATGGTGTAGATCACAAAACTTCTTGAAAATGAAAAATCACAAGTGAATTAGGATTGTAACCCAGTATAGTTAAGTGTAACAGCCAGATTCAAAAAATAGACAATCTTTAAACTACAGAGGTAAAAATAGTGACTGGGTCTCCAAAAAGCATGACTCTGTATCTTTAAGTTATTTAATATTTCTAAGCCTCAATTTCTTAATTTATAAAATAAATATAATAAGAGGACATACTTTAGGGGAGTATTTACCATGAAATTAATTAAGCCTAAATTCAGGGACCTGGCAATGTGATCATGTGATCTTTTTGTAAAATTGTATACTCTTTAAAATAAATAAAACATCTCACCCCCAATTGTGTACCTTCGTATCTTGCCAAAATGTATGCTTCTCTTCTTCACCTTAGTGATTACATTGAGAATTAAATTAGATAATGCATGTGAAGCTTTAGGACTATGCCTATAACACAGAAAATACTGATTAGTGTTCAATATCATTATTATGGCCATTTGACCATTCAATATCATAGGCAATTTGTATTTATTTTTCTCATTTTTATGTACAACTGAATATTTTATATCTTAAATAGTATATCTTATGAGTGTTTAAGGGAAAACAATATACTAACAGAACCTTCTCAGCAAGTCTGGAAAGAGAAATAGTATGAAATATATTTATTGAAATATTAGACTTGATACATGCTTTAAAAGGGCTTTTAGAATTTAATCATGACCAAAATTGCATTTTACTAAAACAATTTCAAGACATTTATTCAGAGAAAACTGTAATATTATATAGAAAAAATTTGTCTAAATGAAATCCCACACACTTGTCAGTTGGTTACTGCAAAAGAGGATGAATAAATGAACTTACTAGAATTACACAAATCTTATCACATCTATGCAAAATGACACAAATCTTATTATATCTATACAAAAATCATCCAAATATTCAAGGATTTAGTAATGTAAACAAAGATGGCTATGCAAATATCTGAGTTGTAGTTTTCTGACTTGAGACATATGATATCTATTTTACATTCATAATGTAAATCACATTCATATGATACTTATTTTACAATTCATAATACAAATGCTATCATTTCTTTTAATCACAAAGCTAGAAGTTACAGATATACTCCAACAAGTTATGATTAATCAAAGAAGCACAATATATATTGACTTGTGATCAAGCTTCATTTTTGAATTTTTTATTATTTTCCTCAAATGAAGGATATTGTGTGTGTGTGTGTGTGTGTGTGTGTGTGTGTGTACTAGTTCTAAATAAAAATCACCAGGAAAATATGACTTTTATTTCAAATAACAGGAGTTTGACTATTACCCTCACTGAATCATTGAGTCAATATAGGAATTTATTTTATGCTTCAAGGTAAAACAAACTTGAGATAAATATGCTAGAACTGGCTTTAGCAACAGCCTAAATTCTGAACCAATATTGATATATACACATATTGTATTGCTTTTTGAATTGTTTTTAATGTGAAATATATAATACATATGTGTATGCATGCATGCATGCGTGTGTGTGTGTTGTAGTAGTAGTAGTAGTAGTAATTTAAAGTCTTGTTCAGAAAGAAACGTTTGTCTTGCTTTTTCTGAGTCAATCATTAAATTGTCTAAAGAATTAGTTAAGCAACAGTAAGAATGGGAAAATTATTTAGTTCTGCTCTGCTTGATAGGAATAAAAAAGTTAGTAAGTTCCCTCCAGGTAGTAAGTTGAATGGCCAAAATCACAGTGCCATTTCCTGCTTTGTGCTATTCCCATTTAGTAAAACAGAATTGGCCACCACGTTCTTAGTATTGCTTTTCAGAGATGTCATACGCACTGCTGAGGAGCTGAGTAGGTAGCTGGTTGATCTCTCTCGATAGGACTTCCGCCCACAACAGAGCTGGCTGTTGAAGTGCCTCCTGAAGCTTTCACTGAGTAGGTAAAGAGCAAATGGATTGACACAAGAATTGCAAAAGCTCAGAACTCGGGCAACTAAGGTGACAATCATATGGCCTAAAGATGGGTCAATCTTGTTATAGTTGAAAGACCGATACATGTAGAGGATGTGGTTTGGAAACCAACAGAACACAAAGCAGCCCACAAAGACCAGCACAATTTTAGCCAGGCGTTTCCGTGTTTCCATCTGCAAATATAAGAAAGCAATCCCATTGGTTACAGTGAACATGGATCCAGTCACATTTCAACTTTATCATGTCACGACAGGAATAAAACTTATGTAGCATGACAATACATCTAAAATATATTTATTATTTATTTTCCTCATCAAAGTGATTATTAACAATTTGATCAAATTCACTTTGTTCTCTATGCTATTTTTTACTTATAAATATTTAACAGTTAATACAAGACTAGGTGGTAAATTAATAAATGACTATGTCTTCATTTAAAACTGTGATCTTAAAAACGGTCTTATTTTTAACTATTTTCTTTTTTCTTGAAGTCTCTTGTGTCCAATATAAATATAAATCATTTCTGTTGGCATTAAATTCACTAAATTAATGAGCCATGGGATATATTCAAGTTTAGGTATTTTTCAAAAGTCAGAACGTTTTAAATAGGAAAAGTTGATCTATTGAAGTAGGGTTCAAAGTTTTTAAACTCTTATTCCAAAAAGAATAAATTGAGATTTCTTCTGACTCACATAAATCAAAAGCATCTGATAGAACTGTGAGCCTGTAAACATTAAGCTGTCACTTTTACAAATAAAAGTACATTTTTATTTTTCCATAAAACTTACGTATTTTATTTACTGTTTTTAAAGGTTTTCAGGAATGTAATAGACAACATTAAATATTGGACATTAATATTTTTAATTTAAAAACAATCTCCTAAGCCGGGCTCGGTGGCTCAGCCTGTAATCCCGCGTCCTTGGGAGGCTGAGGTGAGTGGATTGCCTGAGCCCGCGGGTTTGAGACCTGCCTGGGCAGTGAGACCTCATCGCTACAATAAATCAAAAAATCAGCTGGGTGTGGTAGCACATGCCTGTAATTCCAGCTACTTGGAAGACTAAGGCGGAAGGATCGCCGGAGCCCCGCAGGTCGAGGCTGTGGTGGCCGGGAGCGGCCACTGCACTCCAGTCTGGGCCACAGAGTGAGACTCCAACTCAAAAAAAAATAAAATAAAATAAAAATAAAAACAATCTCCTAATATCTAAAGTCTAAGATGTACTTTATAGTTGTCTGATTTATTTAAATATTTAAATAAGGCAACACAAATGTGGAAATCTAATAGTTCAAAAGACAATGATAGTAGTCATAATGGTATTTTCCGAGCTAAAACTATTGGTCTTCAACTAGAATATGCCAGAGAAGTATAGAAAAGTTTAGCATCAGAACAGATCTGATATTGGGGAACAGTAGAGTAGTGATGGAAGAAGAAAAAGGAGAAATGAAGAGAAGCCCAGTTCTTCGGGAAGCAGAATGTTGTATTCCACATGTACCCTGGTGTCATAAGTTAGGCAATGCAGCAATATAAGGGAGTCAAAAGTGATATTTATATTACTAAGTAGTGACGACCCTAGCAGGTAGAGCATGGGTACAAGAATTTCATGGCAATCAATACTTTGAAATTCAAGTGCACAGGCAGGATCTTGGCATTGAGATTGTTTCTTTGCAGATATCAAAACCTGTTACTCAGCCATGATTAGGAACCAAAAGCAGTTACTCAAATACCCAAACTGAGATAAAAAATCAGATCACAGGGCTCAAATAAAAGAACCAGTTATACAAAATAGAAAGCACAATGAGACTATGACCTGAACATTTTGTTTCAGTGATACCAGATATTTAAATAATAAATCTATTAATTTATCTAACAATGCCTTTAATGATAGGTTGACTTTTTTTAAGTCTTTAAAGAAGATGTGGATATTTGAGCTGATGGCCATCAATTAATGGTGATTACCTTCCATGCAAGAAACCTTTACCAGGTTCCGCTGTTACTTACATACCCAGACCACAGCCTACTACTCCACCTACATTCCAGCAAATTTTAATAATCTTTGATTCCATTTGTTTGTCTTTAATTTAGAAAAAGGCACCCATAACACCCCTATATTTCACCTATACCTATACCTGCACAACCCTTTAGAATAAATTCTTTTCTAGAAGTAAACAAATGTACAATCAAAACTCTCACAAGAACACTATTTCTATCTCTTTATGGATTAGCCCAAATGGTTTTTACCTGAAATGGGTATTGCATATTCCTTAAGGAAGAAAAAGTACATAATTTTAAAATGATGTAATTTTTAAATTAGCCTATCATCTTTGTAGGCAAAGCTGTAAATTTGATTTAGGCCACATATTGCTTCAGCATCACCCCCCCCCCCCCCACTTTGAATCACACACATTCCCTTTCTGCTGCTCTTGCTATTCCCAGAAGCTCCCATTCTGGCTTCCCACCCAAACCCTATTCCCAGATCCCAGGCAGTGTTCTACAGTCCTTCTCTGATGCATACTTCTCTCCTGATACCATCCTTAGTGGGCTAATAGAATAAGAGATCATAATTAAATAAATGTATACTTAATATGTGAAAATTTTCTAGTTTATTATGTTGTTTGTTGCATAGATACCTGCATGTAAAGAAAGACTTTTAAAGAGATTAATTTCTAATGGTGAAATTCTGAGTTGTATCACAGGTGCATATGGCTGATAAGTGGGCTTTCTCAGAGCTATGACATGACTGTATATTGAAGATTCTCCCATAACCCTCCTAGTTAAAGCTATTACAGACCTGACTCTGTTCTCACCACTCATAAGATTGAATCCCCTTGAAACAGAACATAAACTGGCTCTGATCAGCGGCACCCCAAATAAACATATACCTATTAAGCTTACCTGTTTTTTGGTATGTTCATTGTATTCTCCAGGAAGATTATGTGCACTTTTAATTAAGGTCTTTGCAATATGGTAATAATAGACACTAATAATAGCAAGTGGTATGAGAAAATAGACCAAGAAAATGAGCACTGAATGAATTTTTGGATGTAATTCATCTGTCTGAGGATAGGGTATACATGCTGTGAAACTGCTATTATCTAAGCTACCGATGTGTGCCACTTCCGAGAATACTGCTTCCGGAACTGCCAGCGACATGGAGATGACCCAGATACCCATGGCCTTCACACAGGTCCACAGCACTGCCCCTGATGTCTGCATGTCCATGGGATTTACGACGGCTCTGTACCTGGGAAGATAATATGTCCCAAATTATTCTCTTAACAACAACAACAGCAAAAAAAAAACAACAGGAAAGAAGAAAGACATCTTGCTTGGTTAGAGAGGTGCCAACCTCCTTTATTATTCCTTGGCTGTCTTGCAGTGCATGAAAGACCTAGGGTCCCTGCTGTCTCTCTGACTACAAGTCATTTCACTGCTTTTAGCACAGAAGACAGGTTACTGCAGAGTTAAGTAGCATATTATTTTATTATTATTATTATTATTATTATTGAGTTGATCTGACTCTGTCGCCCAGACTGGAGTGCAATGGCCGCTCCCGGCCACCACAGCCTCGACCTGCGGGGCTCCGGCGATCCTTCTGCCTCAGCCTTCCGAATAGCCGGAATTACAGGCTACCACGCCCGGCTGATTTTTTTTTTATTGATTGTAGAGATGAGGCCTCGCTGCCCAGGCGGGTCTCGAACCCGCGGGCTCAGGCAATCCATGTACCTCAGCCTCCCGAAGGCGCAGGATTACAGGCTGAGCCGCCGAGCCCGGCTAAGTAGCATATTATGATGATGCATCATGATGATATTCTTTTCTTTCTTATACACATCCCTAATTGTCCTAGAGTTCAAACTTGGTCATGTTTTATTTGCATAATTTTCCACATATCTGAATTTATGTTTTTTTTCGAAATGCTCCTTCACTGCCTTCATAAATAGCTGGAGTACCAATTCTTGAATCTTAATTCTACATTTTTCTTAGATTTGGATATACACCAAGCACATCTCCACTTTTTTCTTAATTTTGCTTTCTAAGATATTCTATTAGCTTTAGTTTTCATCCTTTTTTCAGAATTTTCTATTTCTGCTATCACGTTTTAATTTTCTAGAAGTTCTTTTTTCAAATCATTCCCTTTTTATGGTAACCTATTCCTATGTTACATGTGTATTTTTGGCATATATTTATGAAACTAATACAGAAAAAACTGTTCTCCTTTTAGCATAGTTCCAGTTTTTGTTTGGACTCTTTGTGTTGAAATCCCTTCCCACAAGTTAGATAATTATTGACTGAGAATTCATATATAAGAGAAAAAGCACTGAAAAACTGATTGTAAATTATTTTTTATGTAGAAAAGGGTGAAGAAAAAGTAGAAAGGCTATCACTACAAACAGATCAAGCTGTCTTTTTAGATTATCAAAAACCAAAGAGTATTCTGAACTTTCCTCCATGTATTTAAAGGAAGAAGAAAAATGTCACTGTTCTACCACGTATCTGCAGAGGCACTCTCTTAGTCCACTGGGGTGCAGTAATATAGTTCTATAGACTGGCTGGCTTATACACAACAGAAATTTACTTCTCACAATTCTGGAGACTAGGTAGCCCAAGACCAAGGCACTAGCAGATTCAGTGTCTGGTGTGGGCCCCCTTCCTTTTACATAGACTTCACCTTTTCCCTGCTTCTTCACACAGTGGAAAGATCAAGAATCTCTCTGGAGTCCCTTTTACAAGGGCGCTAATCCCATTCAGGAGGGCGCCACTCTTATCACCTACTAACTCCAATGGCCCCACCTCCTAATACCATCATTCTGGGGGTTAGGATTTCAATATATAAATTTTTAGGGGACACAAACATTCAGACCGTAGCAGGCATTATAACCATTATAACCATAGAGAAATGTTAAACAGAAGTTAAAAATTATAAATCTCTCACTCTGATAAGATTGTTAGCAACATATACAGAATTGTTGGTTTAGGGACAGCAAGAAACCTAGTGCAAATGCAGGACAAGGATAAAAAAGCCCTTTTCAACAGGGAGGATTCTGAGCACCTACTGTGAGAAAAGGATAGACCCCAGGGATAGTCTCTAAATGATATACATTTGAATGAAAGGGCAGTGTGACAAATTCTGCAAACCCAGAAATGACAGTTGAAAATAGCAGATTACCAAAGTGCTGTTATTAGTACTGAGACATAGCTTACAATTGCCAAAGAAAATATCATACACTAAGCCAGTGTTGCATGTGCATCTTTGAAAGGATAAAGAGTAAAAAGGAAAGTAACATAGTGCACCCTAATGTGGACATATTTTATCATTCTTCCTCAAAATATTTATAGAAAATATGGGGGGGAAACTGTTTCACATAGGATAGTAGCATAACAGGTCTCTATGATATTTTCTGCTACAAATAGTCTCAGAAAGACATCCTTAGGTGAAAACTAAATGCTAGGGAATAATCAATCAAAAGGCAGGCAAAGGGAAACATAATCACTGTTCATGTATTAAACATCAGTGAGTAAATATGCTTCCTCATCGATTTATACTTTGAATCTTGCTTATGTTATCCATGTACAGTTTAAATGCAATATAAAAATATAGTCAACTTTAATCTTCATATAAAATATGTAACAAAAGCCACATTTTAGCTCTTACAAAGTTATCATAACACCTTAAAAATCTTCTCTCCACATTTCCACAAATGTTTCTGGCTACACTACCCATAGATTTTTTTTTCCTTGTTAAACTTTCATTTATCAGGCAAGGAATAGGCCCCCAAAGAGACTAAGTGTGAACTACATGATAAGAGTTCTCATTCACTGTTGTATTCTATTATGTAACACAATGCCTGGCCCATATTGAATTGGTTCTCTGTAAATGGTTGCTGAACTAATAAAGAAACTGTGGCCTAAGCAACAAGGAAATCCTTGCTAGGCAATAGTGGTAGAGTGGAGGGTGGGATTTGTTGGGTACTACGTTGAGGTAGGAATGGTGGTGAAAAATTGAGACTGAGTCCAGTATAGGGATGCCCATGATGTATCAATCTTTAGAATCACCTAGAGAAGGAAAAAAGATAAAGAGTGCTATTAGGTTTCTCCTCAGATTTATTGATGCAGAGTCTCTAGAATGGGAAGTGTGAAAGCCTGCATTTTACTAAGATTTAATGGTGATTCTGAATATAAACCAGGTTAGAAGCCACCTTTTAAGAGGATTGAGTGTAACAGTGAGCAATTTTGCCATAGGATTCCTGCGAGGTTGTCCAGTGCAATGGGTGCATGTTCAGTCGCAATGTAGAGAGCATTTGGAATCCAGCAGAAATTCAGTGTTTGAAGAATCAGATGCCTGTCCTTCATGATCGGTCACATCATGTTGAAAACATTATTCTTATTTTGCAAATGAAAAAACCACTGCCTTATGGGTGAGTATTTTGTGCTGTTGTATCAAGCTTCTCCAAGTAAAACCTTTGGACATAACAAATGTAGGGTTAACACCCAGGAACCATAAACCCCAGCCTGGAGCAGTCCCTCCTTACTTTTAGTGTGTCCCAAAGATTTCAGGTCAAGGTAGAAGAAGAATATTCAAAAATTATAAAGCAACATATAAATCATGGCAGTATTATGAGCGTTGTAAGGATTCTATATTGCCTTTCCAATTCAATGTATGAAATTACCTCAAAGGAAAATGGAAAGAGAAGAAAGCTAGAAGTGTTTGAGATCAATGAGTAAAAGATATCTAATTTATTGGAGTCAAATATAACAACTTTTGTCTAACAATATATTCAAATGAAAAACATAACAAATTAAGCATAGAAATTCTAATTTATCCAGTTTCTATGACTGTGTAAAAATAACAACAGAGTCTTTTTATGGAAGGCAATTTTTTTTGAACAGGCAACTGAAAAGCTCTCAGAAAAACTTATGACTCACATTTTGTGAAAGTATGGGTCATTTTATATTTTCCAACTTTTATTTTTCCTAACTCTGGTTTCTTCCCTTTTATATTCTTATTGTGTATTGTTTATATCTTTAATTTTAAGCTGCCTTAAATTCTTTTGGAACAAAATTGAATATAAATAAATCATCACCCTGGTACCTTAAGGTGAATGCAGACTATTCTCTTAAGTATGTATGGCAAGCCTGAACTCTCCACAAGAGTTAGAAGCACTTTTTGAGTGCCAATTTTAGCAGCAACTGAGAGGCAAGGGCTTCTTAGCATACTGTACAAGGCTATGGAGCAAGGAAGAAAACATCTCCAGTCAGTAGCAGTGGTTAACTTGTACTTGAGTTTCAGTCAAGTCAAGAGTTTTGAAGAGAAATCAGCAAACAGGTAACAGCACTCCCTACCATACTGGACAAAGACTGATGGAAAAGTTCTGTGAAGCCTATGGAGTGTTAGAGCCAGGTTTTGTATTCTGTTTCCATATTTTAACAAATAATTACACTGAAAAGAATACTGTTTGCATTGGTATGATAGCCAAATAATATTAATAATTCAAGGTTTTGTCTACTAGGTTATAATATTAAATCTGATTATCCTAACTAGCCACAAAAGCTTGACATTATTAACAAATTAGCAGTTTAATCAGATTTGATGAAATATTATTTTTGCATGTATTCTAAGATTGGCTATTTAGTATGAGAAAAACAGTATCATCCAATACATTAGGTTAATATTAATTCCATTTTTAGAATTTTATAGTTTCACTTTTAAAATGTAATCTATAAATACATTTTAGTTAATAGTTAAATAAGAAGCCAGAATAAGGAATTGAGATCTATTTTTGCATTTGTGAATACATAAAATTATAAAGTTTACAGTTTAGGACTAGAAATTTGTGAAATTTTTTTCCTATACAGGAAAAAGGAGAATTCATTTCCAATAGTTATTTTCATTTTAATAATGAACTTTTAGAAGCCAAAAGATCTTCAAGAATCAAAAAAGAACATCCAAGTTTGGAAATATAGCTACTTTAATGGGCAATGAGGGACATATAATGTCAACCATAAACCAAGTATAGCTTCTGGGATGCCATCTACCTGGTATCAAAGCACATACATCCCAATATTTCACAAAAGGGAAGTGAATGTGTGTGTATGTGTGTGTGCATACGTGTGTGTGTATGTACATGTGTACATGTATGTATGTGCAAAACTGTTACAAACTTGATATAACACAAAGTATATAGAAATACTTTTAATCAGTTATTTAATTTGAACTTACCTAAAAAAGTACATTTTCAAATAGTAGCAAAAAGATTATCAAGATAAGAGAAAAAAATTAATGGAGAGCAGCAGTGTGGCCATTTCAGACCATACACTCTTTATCCTTCAGCCACACTGGTTATGATGTCCCTCTGAGACATGTCTGCAATTGACACAAGTGATCTTTCCTAAGGATGTATCAATGGAAACTCCTTCAGTCTGGAAAGTCAAGGATTAGTAATCACAAGAACAATTGTCACCTTACCATCCTTTGGCCATATTAAACAAGGTGATTTAGGCCTCAAAGTAGATTCAGAATACTGTGTTTCTTATTTCAGTCTTTGCAAATCAGTGATGCTCTTATCAGTGACATATAAAATATGGGTCACCACTTCACACTGGGATTTGCTTTCTGAAGTCCAATGATTTTCCTGGTTCTTTTTTTGTTCTATATTACTTTGATCTCTATTTCTTAACTCTCTTTTATTTCATTAGGCAAAGACACACCATCCCACAAAGATAGGATATATGATACAAATATAATTGAATTTGTGTTTTAAAAACTCTAGTAACTGAGTTTTTGCTTGTTTTGGTTGTCTATTGGTGCAGCTACTAGTTCATTTTGAATTCAAGGTGCTTCTTTTATCTTGCAGTTGCATTTTATGATGTTCGTTCACTCTAATAGATCAAATTAATTTGACTCTGTGCTGTTTTTTTACATGTGTTTTTTTAAAACTTAATTTTTTAAAGTCTGCTGTTAAATAGAAAAGACTATTAGTTATTTCTTATACTGGAAATATAATAATGTGTCTTAAACTGGGTTCAAAAATGCTGGCTCCATCACTCACTAGCTGTGAGATCATTAAAATGTTACCAAATTTCTAACCTCAGTTTTCTTAGCTTTAAAACTGTTAATTTAAAAATAATAGTGTCTTCCTCACAGAGTTGTGAGGACTAAAAATTATGAAATATTTAGCCCAGTGCTAAGAGAAATTAATCTTACAACTGTTTCCACATCCACAAGAAATCACAGTATTTAGTGAGATAAAGAAGTTATCAAGCCGGGCTCGGTGCCTCAGCCTGCAATCCCGTGCCTTTGGGAGGCTGAGGTGAGCGGATTGCCTGAGCCCGCGGGTTCGAGACCCGCCTGGGCAGCAAGACCTCATCTCTACAATAAATCAAAAAATCAGCGGGGCATGGTAGTGCATGCCTGTAATTCCAGCTACTGGGAAGGCTGAGGCGGAAGGATCACCAGAGCCCAGCAGGTGTAGGCTGCGGTGGCCGGGAGCAGCCACTGCACTCCAGTCTGGGCGACAGAGTGAGACTCCCAACTCATAAAAAAAAAAAAAAGAAGAAGTTATCAAGTACTAATCAACACTTGATGGCTATGTTCTGGAAGAAAAATAGAAGCATAGCAAATATGTAACAAACCATTTCCAACTCATTCTAAGTGAATAGTGAAATATACTGTATAATTGCGTCACCAGTGACTCAGGATTCTTAATTTATCCAAAACACACACTGATAGGCAGGGGAAGCCCAGGATCAAGTAGAAGAGGGAACCCACTTTTCCTTATCATTATTATTAAAATATCTATGTTGTATTCACAAAGTTCATGATGCACACATAAAATAGAAAAAAAGGTCAGTAAATAAATGAGGATTAGCATTTTCTCTGACCTTGGTCAACACCAATTTACCTGTGTGTCACCATCACAATAGATTGTGAAAACTGGTATGAAATAAAACTCCAGCCCTGGGTCTTGCTTGCTACCAATGTCACATTTTTTAAATGAAAGCATAATGATAGTAATTTGAACTACTGTAATAGCTAATCATTAAGTTTTATTCTAATCATTAAGTCGTTGTTGTTGTTTTTTTTTTAACTTTTTAGTTAAAATGGGTCCCATGAAGAGGAGCAACTAAACTAAATAGTCACAGTCTTGTTTTGGAATTCAGAGAAAACTTTTTAAAAGATAATAGAAGCCATGCCATATAGACAAAATTAGGAGCATAATTTACACAAAAGGCACACAATTTTCCAGGAGTGTGGTTTTAGAAAGTATATTACAGAAAGTAAAAACGAAATAGTTTCAGTTTAAAAAGATAATGGGTCTTAAGTCTCCACCGAATATTTATTGTCTTTCCTTCAATGAGGATTAACTCTTCAGTGCCAAAGTGGTATTAGGATATTAATGCAAATACCTGGAAATGCAGATCCTGACTCATTTTTCATTAATAAGAATATGTAAACTAAAGAGGAGGGTGAACACCATTTTATTTGCCCAAGTTAAGCTCTTTATCTAAATAGCTGAAGTCAATCCCCCATTCCTGGGGAATTAGACCACAGCTCCATGTAATGATGCCCAATTACAAATTTTGTCTTACCCTACCCAGACATTCCCTCTTGCTTAAATGCTCAAAAGCACGATTACAGTGAGCCTGGAATAGTGACACTAGACCCCAAGTCAAGAGACCTAGATTTTTCTCTCAACTTTCCATCAGGAATTACATTTCCTGGACCTCAATATCTACACCTGGAAAATGACAAGGTTGAACTAGTTGATCTAGAAGGTAAAATAATGGACACTCCACACCCTTAAAATATGTGAAAAGCAGATTTGATATCAAAGATATGTTTTTACCGCACCGTTGGAAGATACTGAAACGTGGTACGTATCTGTGAGGGGAAAAAAATCACGTCAGGCATCAAACAAGAAGAATATGAAAAGTCTTCCATCTAAAGCACATTTATTATTCTCATTCACTTGGCTTCGAGTAAATAGCAAAATTCAGTTAATAAATATAAGTTATGTTTCCTCTTACTTATTTGGAAAAAATCAAAATTAAACATTTATCTAGTATTAAAGCAGACATTCTTACCTATCAGATTATTATTGTACTTAATAAGGAAAGTACTCTTCCGAGATTTTTAGCACACACAAAAAGCTTCGACAAGATAGTTGAACTTTTGAAGGCTTATTATATAGCTTTTCTATGGAAGACTCTCCAAGTGTCGGGAGGGGGAATTTCCATTTAAGATGCAACTTTCGTCATTTTTTAAAACAGCAATTTTCCTATATTTACAGAGCTTCACATCTCAGTCCTTTTTAACTCCGTTTACTTCCCAGATACACAATCTCTCTTTCTTTAGTCTTCATTCCCAGCCTTGCCTGGCCTTGCTTGCATTCCGCTCTCCCCGCCCCTTCGACACCACTTTTGCTGGCCACCCCACCGCGACCTGTGTCCTTACCGGTCAGCGCTGAGGGCGGTGAGCGTGAACACGGAAACCCCCACGGAGGTGAGCTGAATGGCGGGGATCAGTTTGCAGCCCACCTTGCCGAACATCCACTCGTCGAAGAAGTAGCGCGAGGCGTCCACTGGGACGCAGGTGAGCAGCAGCAGCAAGTCCCCGGCCGCCAGGTTAGAGATGAAGATGTTGGGGACGCTCCTCATGGCGCTGTTGGCGATGAAGACCTTCACCAGCATGACGTTGCCCACCAAGCCCACCGTGATGATGAGCAGGTAGACGGACGGGATCACACAGCGGATCACCAGCTCGGCGGTGCTCCCGTCGGAGGCGGGCAGAAAATCCCCTTCGTATACCTCGGGCGCGAACCCGCTTTGATTGGCGCCCGTGGTCAGTGAGAGGTTGGAAAAAGAGCTAGGGGGCATGATCGGCTTGCCGGGGCGACCGCTGGAGTTTTCGGGCGCCCTGGTGCCCCGAGAAGTGCAACGCGCACGACCTGGGCTGAATCGATGTCCCCTCTCCCGCCCCTGCAAGTTCACTGCCCGCAGGGAGCGCCGGGTGAGAAGTTGCGCACACGCGCTCCGGGGCTTCTGGTCTAGCAGGGCTGCCCTGGTTCCTACAAGCTCTGAATTTAAATTAAAAACAAAAATAAGCAAAGCGGTTGAGCAGTTGCGTCTTTGTTCCGAACTCAGTTGTCGGTCGTGGCTTATAGCCAGCGGAGAACACTGGTTTCAAGAACCAGAAACGGTTCCTCTGGGATTAACAGAAGTACCTGCGCGACTGTTTGCCCAGAGGAGCGGAAGTCATCCTGGCGCTGTCCAGCGAGACGCTGCTGAAATCCAGTACCGGGAACCAGCGTGGGACCGCTGGCACCTTGCTTTGCCCACAGCTTTTCTCTTGTTTCTGCACTTCCTGCTGTATTGTGTGGAACTGGAGGGGAACTGAGTCCTCTCTCTCACACTGTTCCTAGCTACATCCATCCTTACCCGCCTCCGAGCGGGAGGAGCCCCAGGCAAGAAGTTTGGGGACCTCTGAGAATATTGAGCTGGCAAATCCCTAACCCTGACGCCCTGAACTTAGGAAAAGCAATGAGAGCCAAGGAATGAATAAAATCCTCTCCCTACTCTTTTCCCTCTCATCCACTTTTCATACTTCAAACACAAAAATTATTTCCTGGAGTTGGCATATTATTTTTAAACATATTTTATTGAAACATAGCTTGCATAAAGTACACATTTGGTTAGATTAGTGCCTAATCTAACCAAAATCAAAATTGCCAATCTAACCATCCTCTCCCAAAGTAACCACCACTCATCCTGCTATTATCTTAGTTCGCCTTTTATATAGCATCATAAATTGACTCATTCAGTATACGCTCTTGTGCCTGCTTCTTTCACTCAACATATATTTGTGAGATCTACCCACACTTTTGCAAGTGTCATTTTTCATGGCTGTATAGTATTTCATTTTATAAATGTACCACTGTTTATTTGTCCATTATAATGTTGCTTGACATTTGGATTACTTACAATTTTAGCCAAATTGAATAATGTTTGTACAAACATTCTTGTACATGTCTTCTGGAACACATTAGAAGAAATCTCAGGTGTGGATATGCTAGATCACAATACTTAAGTATTTCACCTTTAATAAAACTGAGAGTTTTTCAGATTGAATTACCAACTTCTTATTTGGAAACTTGCTTTGTAGTATCTATTTAGGCTGGATATACACATATGTATGCTTATGAACAAGCAATTCCACTGCTTTGTATATGCTAAATAAATATATGGTACATTATTTTAAATAGGATGCTCCTAAGAACAAAATAACTTTCCAAATCACCAGATCTGAGTCTAATATAAATTGCTCAGTTTATTGTCAGGGAACGACTGCTCATGCCTGTAATCCCAGCACTTTGGGAGGCTGAGGCAGGAGGATTGCTTGAGCCCAAGAGTTCAAGACCAGTCTGGGAAATATAGCAAGTCCTTGTCTCTAAATAAACAAAAAAATTAACCATGCATGATGGTGTGCACCTGTAATGGGTGACTGAGGTGGGAGGATTATCTGAGCCAGGAGATTGAGGCCTTGTTGAGCTATGATTGTGCCACTTCATTCCAGCCTGGGTGATAGAGTAGGACCCAAACTCAAAAATATATATTATATATAGGTTTAGATATGTCTTTAGTAAATTTATCTTCAGAGTTGTTTTCTTTTTTACCATTTAATTTTATTGTACAAATTATATTACTAAAATGATCTTCTAAATTATGAAAGGTTTCAAACTCCCACATTGCAACGATCCCACTTAAATCTATTTTATATGAAAATATACTAAAATTTAAATTACTGCATAAATTTCTATTTTCTCCTATGATTGTATCTGTATGATCCTAACCACTTAGATGAGAAAAATGTTTAGTCCAAAAGCTGGATTAGCAAATATCTTATAGGCAGGTATTACAGAAACAAGGCATCTGGATTGAATTTTCTCCAGCTCAAGTAAATTCATATGTATATAAATCATTGTAGTGGAGAATATAAAAAATATTTTAATAATCATGACCTTATTGATATTTTATTGAAATGTTATAAAGTTATTATGGTTATATAAGTATTATTTAGATTCATCACAAAATCACACGTGAGACTATGGTATTAACTTATATTTATAGAATGCATACTTATCAGAAATACATATCTACTGAAGGAAAAAACTTTTTAGTTTATTCAATGTGTCACATATCATTAACTCATGTCTCCTTAATGTTTATAAATACCATTTGAGTCTTAATTTTATACATCACACAAGTAAGAGTCAGAGGCAAGATAAATTGCTTAATTTCAAAAAGACTAATAAAATTTTATTTTGAAACACATTATATTTGACTTCATTATATATTGCATCTCATTGTTCCCAGACAAAACAATTGGGTGGGGAAAATGTGGTTTCTATATAATTGAAGCATATACTTTTAATCCTGAGGTATTCAGTGTTTATAAACATACTTTATATATTTTATTGTCCTAATACAAAAACCATTCAGAACTATATTGTTGCTATTTCAAATTCATTAGTTGTTGTGTAAGTGTATATGAGAAATTTGTAATTTAACCTTATTTTGTAATCTTCACTTGCCCCAAAGTATATATTCTTCAGGGTATTAATAAGAAAATGTCAAATATTATAGAGACATTATGCATTTTTTAAGGTAGCAAACAAGACAAGGATATCCACTATTATCATTGTTATTTAACACGGTAAAGGATATGCTAGCCAACGCTATCACAACAGAATTGGACTTAAAAGCATAAAGATTGAAAGAAAGAAGACTCTAACACAAAGATATAATATTAAAAACTGGGCTGGGCTCGGTGGTTCAGCCTGTAATCCCAGCACTTTGGGAGGCCGAGGTGAGTGGATTGTCTGAGCCTGAGGGTTCAAGACCTACCTGGGCAACTTGGCGAGATCTCATCTCTACCATAAATCAAAGATTAGCCGAGCATGGTAGCGCGCGCCTGTAGTTCCATCTACTTGGAAGGCTGAGGCGGAAGGATCGCCAGAGTCCAGCAGGTTGAGGCTGCAGTGGCTGGGAGAGGCCACTGTACTCCAGTCTGGGTGACAGAGTGAGACTCCAACTCAAGAAAAAAAAAAAAAAACTGAATGGAATTTGCAAAAAACAGAAAAAAGTCAGTGGAAGAGAAAAAAGTTTAAGGAAGTTGCATATAGATGGAGAAATGATTTTAAAATGTGTGTTACAACAAATGAACACAGAACAATATAAGTTATTTAATAGAAAATACTGAGAAAACGGATTCACATGCAATACCCTGTTTGATTCTTATAAAACAGGGTCTCTATGCAAAACTTTATATAGTGTTAGAATTCCAGTGCAATAAAGGTCATAAGGTGAAAAGTAATTTAAGGATGACTACAGAAGAAAATTAAAAAAGAGTTCCCCCTTGAGTTTTCAGCTAAATATTTATTTCTACATGCATGTGAGGAAATTAACCAAGTCTTAGGAAAAAGTTATGTAAAAGGGGTAGGGAAAACAAGACCCACAGGTCAATCAGTACTTTAAATAAGTTGTGCTCCTACCAGCTGAGTGTAAAAACCTTGCAATACATAGAGTTTCAGGTATATTACTTAGAAGAGTATTGTGTCTGTAGTTAGGAAAAATTAATCACAGACTAAAGGCTTCATTTTTCTTGTCTTCCAAGCTTAAAAGCGAAGATTGAAATAGTAAAAGTAGTTCTAGGAAACTCGGTGGCATCTTACAACGAAGTTGAAGAACACTTAAAGAACAGATGTTTTTTGATTAACAATGCGGCTACATCTCAATAATGTATTGGAATTCTATAATATCCTATGCTGAAAATGCATTTAGTACCCTATTAAACCCATCCTACAGTTGAAAAAGTATAAATCAAATCATTGTAAGTGCAGATGCTCCTCAATTTATAATAGAGCTAAGTCATGATAAACTCATTGTAGAGTCAAAATATTGTAAGTCAAACTGTTGTAAGTTGGAGACCATCTGTAATATTTAAGCCACACGGAACTCAGCAAAGTAAAATAAAAGTGTCTAGCATGCACTGAAAAAATGCCAGACATGTAAATCAGCAGTAAACTATGATTACAAATAAGAAAAAAATAAGTTAATTGAAAATAAATCAATAATGATACAGATGATTATAATAAGTAGACAAGAGTATTAGAAATATTAATAAAACATCATTCCACATGTAGAAGGAAGAGGAAAACATTTGTACATTAAAGAGAGAAATGAAAAATATAAAAAGATACAATGAATTTTTATAGAGTAAAAAAACTAATATAATAAAAAATAAAATTTAGTAGCAAAAAGGAGGGGGGGGGACTACAAAAGAGAAGATAAGTAAACTTCAACATAGTAATAGAAAGTATCCAAAACAAAATACAGAAAGAAAAGACAGGAAAAAATGAACAGAATATCGGTGCACTGTGAGAAATTTAAGTGGTTCAATACAGATATATCTGGATCACTGTTTCTGAAGATAAACAAACAGAAAAAATTTTTTGAAGAAATAATGGCCCCCAATTTTTCATATTTAATGAAAACTAAAAACCCTCATATCCAAGAAGCTCAATAAAACCAGACAGAAAAAACATGAACAAAAATCTACCCATGTGAGAAACTAGAAGTTTTTATGCTAAGGTCAGGAACAAGGAAAAAGTGTCTCTGCTCATCACATGTTTTTCAACATTGTACTGGATGTCTTAGCCAATGCAATAAGGCAAGAAAAATCAATTAAAAGTACACTGATAGGAAGGAAGAAATAACACGTACTTTGTTCACAAATGACATGTTTGTCTATTAGAAAATTTGACAGAATCAAAAAAACTCATGCAGCTAATAAATAATGATGGCAAGTTTGCAAGATAGAAGGTTAATATTCAAAAGTAAATCATCCTCTTACATACCATCATTGACTATGTGGAATGTCAAATGTAAAACACTAAAACATTTACAGTAGTCCCCCCCTCAAGATGAACTATATAT